ACATGGCTTGTAGACTTTTTGGGTCTAACATATGGTTTTTAAATATATGAATTATAATTCATTTAAAGACAAAGCTATTGCACAAGTTTTGTACTTGCAGTCATCTGTGTTTCACCTCTCCTTAAATAATAGTTGACTATGTATGTTCTTCTCCATACATGATTGGAATACTAAAGCATCTTTAATATAATAATCTCAATGTTATTGAGCACTCTGATGTTGTAGACAAGTGGGGGGAAAATAGGAGTGAGCTAAACCCCATGTTTGTTTTACTAATTTTTATCAGTTTGTACTTAAAAGTGGAGAGCCAATGAATCACTGCACAGATCACTGGAAAGATCAGATGGGTCCAATAGATGGTGATATTTCTACAAATATCATTAACATTCTGATACTTCATTGCACTGACAAGATTGCAATGAGAATAGACAACGGTGCAAATTAATCTATTCTTCTGACAGTATGTAATGAGAATGGGATGTGGTTTAAAAAATTAAGCCATTCTTAGTACAATCTCAAGATTACAATCTCATGGTATCTTTCAGATGCTACACACTCTGGTGATACATCACTGAAAAGTGTCAGTTTAACAAAAAATGTGTCTTAGTTCCTGCTGGGATGGTAGAACACACTTAGTTTGTCTCACCATAGCCCAGCTGATTAAAAACAATGGAGTACAATCAAATTGGGCTTTTTAGAAAACATATTCATAACCAAAATGAATAAAAAATTCTGGAAATGTTATCTTGATCAATACTAAAAATTATTTTACTTTATTGCTTCTCTTTTTTCTCATCACTATCTGTGTTTAATTATAAAAAACAGAAGACAATGAGGGATCACTTTAGGAATTTGGAATCTAATACCAATTTATCCATAAACATGAACTAGATAATTGAGTTCATCATGGAGAGCTACTTAGTTATCCTCTTAACAATGGTCATATTGCATTATCAGCTGGACCTGATGGTAGATAGATAGATCAAAGTCTTGAAATTTGCAGTAACTTAATGTAAATTTTTTTTTTTGACATTCATACCCAAAGAGAACATGAAAAGGAACTGAATTTCTGGTGATTTAAATAGAACAGAAAATGTACAATGATGTTTTTGACATCTAGTTCTATAGGTTCAGATAAACAGGATCAGTATGACCCTTAGATTATAGACAATGATAACAACAGTAACAGCACAGCTAACACTTATTAGGAGTCGACAACATGCTGTGTTTTCTATACATGTTGTATCAGTCAGTCCTAACAACTGTTAGGATAAGACACATGCTCAGTAACAGATGCTAGTAAGAAGTATAGTCAAGGTATCCCTACCCCAAAGCCTATGCCCATCACCATTACACTAGGTCTTCCCTGCTGCATTTTACATTTAGCAAAATTATTACTCACAGAGGCAAATTGGCTTAATAGGTTCTCCCAGAGAGTTTAGGGCAAAGCCAGACTGGAAATTAGGCCTCCAAATTCCCCTGTAAAAAGTATTTCTTAAAATGTCATACTGCTTCAGTTTATTGAAGCCTCTTACCAAATGTTTTGAATGGAAGATAAGCTTATTGTCTAAATTTGCCACAAGATCTCAATAATTTTTCTGACTATGTTGTAATTTAATAAAGCTAAGCATTAATATTCATTCTATAGTGTTTCTTAAAGGTTAGGCATTGTGCTTTGTTCTGAAAAGAAACCAATGCGTAAGATATTCATTGCCATTAATTTGTTATTTTCATTCATTCATTCAATCATTCATTCAGTAAATGTCTACTGAGTTCAATATAACAGAACCTGTATTATTTTCCAGATAAATAATATTTTGAAGTGTCACATTTACTTATTCATTCAGTGTATGTCTTTTGAATATCTATTGATTGCCAGTTACTCTGTCAGGCATAGGAGATACAGTCACGAAAAGACGATTTGGTTCATGACTTCAAGGCACTTATGATCCACATGCAGAAGCAAGCAAGAAAGTAGGCAGTCAAGTAAAATGCTTGAGATACTGTGACAGCACAGCAGCGTGCATGGAAGCATGTGGGAAGGGTACTGAAAGAGTCAACCAATCCAAGACAACAGTGGTGTGAAGGAAAAGGGAGTAAGGAAGAGCATTTCAGGCAAAAGAGTCATGTTTCAGAATTTACAATGGAGCCATAAAAACCATAGAAAAATCCAGTCATGCACTTATTAATTACCTGTTCATTTACCAAATTTTATTAAAAATAATAACACTAGATTTTTAAATTTAGCCTGTTATTACTTATTTAGAATATTCAATACATTTTGATTTTCAAATTAATGGATGAAGGTTGTTACATATTGTATTAGGTGCCTGTTCTGTGGCTCTTTGGTCTGTCTCTTTTGAGAGACAACACTACCAGTCTCCATTTCTATCTTTTCTTTTCTTGATAAACAATGGAGAACTTGAATCCACAAATTGATTCCATGTTATGTAAACCCTAGGCTGACTCATAAAATTGTGTTTAACTCAATTCTCATTATTCAGAGTAATGGGAGTAGGAGAAAACTATTTTCTAAAATTGTTCTGTTCAACCATGGCTATTTAAATTTAAATTTATATTAATTGAAATTAGCCAAATTAAAAAATTCAGTTTCTCAGTGACACTGCCCACATATTAAGTGCTCAAAAGCTTTATGCTAGCATATTGAGCAATGCAGAAAAACATTTCATTGCTGCAGAAAGTTCTATGATATAGTTCTACTCTAGAAGCTAGTTTTTAATAAAGTATAATTATTTCAGGGCAGTGTTAAAAATAAAATTGCTCAATAAATAGCTACTTATAAAATTAGCTATGTAACCATATCTAATGTAACACAATGTAACCATATCTAATGGTTACAAGCTATAGAGTACAGTTAGAGTATCAGTGATATTTAGTGTTAGTTTACTGGTTTGCTTACTGATTCACCTAATTGTAGAAGGAATTAAAAATAGTCAAGAGTAACCAATGAAAGGAATCCAATATGTCTAATATTTTTGTGACGCAAAAGACACATTTGTTAAGTAAGAACACAATCTAAACAACAATCAATGAATTTATTTGCCCCTCAAATTATTAAAATCTTTTTCTGGTGCACACTTGCTACTTATTGAGTGTATAAATTAATAAAACTGTTTGGAAAACTTCATCAGTATGTACCAAAGTCTTTAAAGTAAATACATCCTCTGACATTGTTTTCACCACTCACTATATCATAAATATATAATCTATGAAATAGGGAAACTCACATGGAAAAGATATTCTTTGAAGTGTTTGGAACATCTTAAAATTAGGAAGTGATTAGGTAAATCACACTAAGTGCAAAGTCATCAGAAGTATGTTAACATAGAGTTTAAATAACATTAAAAGTGTTTAATGCTTAAATTAATCCTTTAATTTAGAAAAAAATAATTACATATTACTCAATGAAGTAAAGAATAGGTAGGATATTCTCCCAATACTTTAACAATGGTTTCCTCTGAATGATAACATTTTATTCTTTCTAATTCCCTTAATTTTCTCAACTTCTACAAAGAGCAAGTATTAATTTTACAGTTGGCAAAAAATAGGTATTAATTCAGAAAAATCCATAAGGCAAAATTTTTTAAAGTTACATTTCACTAGATCTACTGCAAGTAGGTTGATAAACAGAATTGAATGGAAATAAATTTTGGTAGGGGATAGATAGTGGTTTTTGTTGGTTTCTCAAAAGTCATTAAAATATCGACAGATCTTTATAACACTACAAACTAAAAGTCAGGAAGCAGCAATATCCTAGAACTTTATCCTGCCACTGGTGAAGAGCAGTTTTTCTAAGGAAAAAACAAAGCATAATGTGCTGTTTACAAAGTATTTTCACCGTGATGTGTGCTGAAGAGAATGAACTTTGGAATAAAAGGTTACACCAACTGCTAGTTAAAGTGTTTATAAATTAAAAAACTAGTCACATATAATAATATCTACTTTGCATGGTTGTTAAGAGGATTCGAGGAGTTTTGCATACATCTGCCATGATGTCTGATATACAAAAACATATTCAATAAAAGTAGCTATAAGCTTGGTTCCCATGGAGGCATAGAAATCACTGATTGCAGAACAGATAACTATTGATTAATCAGGAATCTACATGATGAAGTCCCAAGAACGACAACATAGTGATGCAGAGTTTGAAATGAGCAATATTCAGAAAACTGTGCAGACAGGCACTATCAGGGAATTCAGTGAGTGATAATTCAGTGAGTAAGTAGTATTAGTTGAAAAAATCAATTTGAAATGTGCTAACAGTCTTTAACAAACACTAACTAGTCTACACACATTAAAAATTAAAGCCCAGCACTGGTGGCTCATGCTTGTAATTCTAGCTACTCAGGAGGCAGAGATCAGGAGGATTGTGGTTCCAAGCCAGCCCCGGCAGATAGTTCCGGGAGACTCATCTCGAAAAAACTCCTTCACATAAAACGATTGGTGGAGTTGCTTAAGGTATAGGCTCTGAGTTCCAGCCCCAGTAATGCAAAAAAAAAAAAAAAAAAAAATTAAAATCTCAATGTCATTGTACTAGTAATATTTAAGCTTAAAAACTTAATTTTTCCAAAGTGATACAAGTGTCTTCGGAAGTACAACGTCCAGTTGTGTTCCATGTCTTGCAAAACACAGTATAAGCTTGGATTTTTGATATTGTACAGTTTTTTCCAACCTCCTTTCAGTCTTCCTATAACATCATATTCATACTCTATACTTCAGACACCCTATATTACTTGCTTCTCTCATGCCCCTTCACTCCTTTATAAATTCCTTTTGCTAGCTATTTAATGAATCCATAGCCTAACTTTAACTTACAGCATGAAATTATCCACATTTTTGTTTAAAACATATATGAAAAAGATAGCCTGGAGAACACATTGAATCTCTGTTGATGTTTTAGATTGATTTTTGGTGACTTTTTTCTTGTCTCTGCATACATTTCTTGAAATAAACACGAATTTCAAATGTTTGGTTTGCAGCGGCTGCAGCAGCAGACATGGCTTACCACCACATCAGGCCTCCCATTGGTTATTCCATTCCTAAGCCCATATCATCTCTGCTGATGCGAGGGTGGAATGCGTGTCCTGAAGTGAGTAATTTTTATTTCCTCTTATAAAACGTGTCATGGTCAAAATCTGTCACAAATAGTGTAACTCCAAAGTCTATTTTCAGCGTGTATTTTAAGACTGTCAAGGCGGGAAGACTGATTTGCCTTCTGCTCTTTAGTCTCTAATTGCTTCGAGAAGACTGAGTATCTCATTTTTCTTTGCTTCTGCTCTGATTTTGAAATGTTTCTCACAACTGATTAGTAAAAAAGGGATCAGAGTATGACAGATGACTTAAGAGTCTCATCTCAGCTTCAATTGTATTAACTATGATTGAGCCACACTTACTCATTTTTGAAGAAAGAACTTTGGCACAAGGTGGACTTGTGTTGGCTGTTAACATTACACTGGTTTTGGGGAAGAGATCCCAGGGGAAGAGGTCTTCAGAGTACTGGCTCTGGCATGAGTCAGAACACCGAGTTCTCATTCTCCTCTAACTTTGACTGACTATGTAAAAATGTGAACTATAGTTCAAATGAAGAGATCAATGTAATGGAAGAAATAAGTAAAGAAGTAAAAAAGGATAGGGAAGCAGTGAAAAAAACACTTTAAGTACAGTCATAGATCTAAGAGAGGAGAGTGGGAGCAGTCATATAATTTCTAACCATCGGTTTCTAAGAAATGATTTTTCTTACATGTGCCAGAGCAGTTGATGTGTACTCTCTTCTCCAAGTTCAAGTAAAGGGAGCATGTACAGATTCACTGGGAGAAAATAGACAAGAAACTTGGTAGTTATTGGAACATTGTAGCCACTGAGGAGTTAGATCTCTATACCAGGCATCATTTGAAACAAGTTTTTTAGATCTGAGACACTCACACCATCCTGTCCCATTCATTATTTTCTAGGTTATCAACTTCACCAATCATTCTTTCATATCTATCTTTCCCTCACTTTTTGAACTTGGAGCACAGTATTTTCTCCTCTGTGTATCTTCTTAGTCGAGACTCAAACACAGCACATAGAAGGCAATGGGATACCAGTGAAGGAAGAAAGTTGTTGGAAAACAATGAGAGGTGGAAAAAAGTCCTGACAGATATAATCAGATTATGGAAACTAGAATAGGAAATCTGGACATGAAACTATTAATGATTTTATTTTTTATTGCTAAAGCAGTAAAGAGATATAATAAAAGTATTTTTTGGGAAAATTTATTTAAGTTGGGTCTGAAGAATTTCTCATTCACTTTCTTAAAAAAATTATATGTAGTTTCTAGAAGCAAACACTGAATTATCTTCTAGTGTTCATTGGAATAGCTCAGTGGGCTGTACTATGTGCTCCACGTTATTCTGGGATGCTCATTGAAACAAAGATTTTAGAGCCCAATCTTAAATCTACTGATAAAAATCTCTGGGACTGAGCCTAAAACAGCATTTTAACGAACACCCTAGAAATAAATGGCCAATAAAAGTGGGGAACTAGTGGATTGAAACTGAAGCAAAAGACACAAAGTCAGATCAGCCAGCTGGGCTGCTGTTACTGTTAATCTACTTGATTGTAACACAGACAATGGTTACCATGGGGATTCAGGGGCAAGGGTACTTCAAAGAAAGCATAAGAAGTGAAAGACTGGGTTTTTTAAATGGAAGAGAGGAAAGTGTCCAGGAGAATTGTCATCGCAGCCTTCTGAGGGTCAGCTGGTGACCAAGAATAAGCATTAAGCCCTCACAGATCCTGGATATTGTTGACAGTGAGAAAGGGAACAGAACTGAGGACTCTACCAGAAAGCAACAGTGCTTTAAAAGGAAAAAAAATAGAAAAAGTAAAGGGAAAGATAGCTACAGAGACAAAGTAAAAAAGTAACCTGATATACAAAGATATGCAAGATGTTGATATAGATGCTCTTCTACCCTTAAAGGTATTTAACCAAATAGAATGGAATCAGGAGAGGAAGACAGATAGCATAGGAGTTCAGCTAAGGCAGGAGGCCAAATAAAAATAGAGGGGTCAGGAATTAAAGTTTAAAGAGAGTTCAGAATTTGGTGAGAAAAAAAGGAAGAAGAATAGGACTTTCAAAATGAGAAAGTTATACCATTTACAGGCAATTCTGAATATTAAAGGGAAAAGAAGATAGGAAGGACATACAAGCAGTATTTACATTGTCCTAGTTATCCTTTAAGCTGTATTTTACAAGTATTGATATAAATATGCAGAGACCTATTCAGATACAGAGATGGGAAACGAGGAAGATTGTTTCCTTTTTAACCTTTCCCTCTCTCTAAGAAATATGAAATATTATAACATTATACTGTGAAGATATGCTTTAAATATTTCACTGGGGTATCAATATTAAAATTTTTGAGTATATCTAGACTTTTAAAATAAATGTGACTTTGGGTTAAAGATGTTTATTCTGTCATTGCTTTAAACCCACTTTTTATAAGCACATTTAATTCCTCTGCACAAGAAGGAGTACTCCACACCAAACAGTAGCAGCATGCTAAACTCAAGAGATCAAACCCTGAAAGCTACATGCTAATGGGTTAGTTTTCAAAATCTTATATTAATAACAATTGGCAATAAAGCTTGTTAAATTTCCTTTTGTTCATGTTCCATTGTGTTGATCTTGAATCCCTGCATGTTCTGAAATGATTGCAGCTGAGATCTCCACCTAGTGGATTTTCAGGATTTTGCAGATTTTACAGAACCATGCTGCTACCCCTGAAAAATCCTTAATTTTTTTTTCTCTTCTAAGAGAACATGTTTTAAAGAATTCTACTTAAGATCTAGGATAATTATCAACAGAAAAATTGCAAATGGATAAAACACACCAACATGCATATCAGCTTTACTACAGTTAACAAACTAAGCTACTAAATTTTTATTTTCATACCATAATTAGGAAAACAGATCAGACACAAAGATGAACATATAATCGTCTGTAGAAAGCACTATTGTAATACCACTAATTGAGACACGTATACCAATTTCCATAAAATAAGCATCAAACATGAAGTGCTTTTTTCACATTTTAGTCTTTCATATTTAGTCTTTCATTTGTTTGAGCTCTTTTTTTTTAATTTGGTTGCTTTTTCATGAGTAAACAGAGCTTTTTTTATTTTCCCATTCCTTGAAGAAGTACGCTTAGTTAATTGTATCAAATATATCCTGTCACTCCATCTTTTATTTTTGTGTTAGATTTAACTGTGAACCTCTATTTTATTGATAATGAAGAATTATTGAGGATTTCCTTCTCCATATAATGTATTTTAAATGCATGCAAAGACTAGGACATGTTTGTGGGAACTTTTGATGAGAACTAAAGTAGAAAATGATTATTATTTGAGTTTCACTATTCACTCTACTCTGCTTCTAAAGGTGCTGTATTAGCATATTCAACAGATGGTAGATGCAGTAGAGAGCTTGAAACAGTTTTCGGCTTCATATGTTTTGCTAAGAATTAGAGGCACCTTGTTTTCTGCCTTAAATCTAATGTCTTTTAACTCTGTTAAAAGGGAGAACACTTCACTTGCCCCTTGTCTATGTGCAGTGTTATATTTATTTTGTTGGATACCTCAAACCGTGCAATACATTTTTTTTTTCACTTTTCCTATTTTCCTACATTTGTTGCCCTTTGTGATGTTTTTCAAGGTCATTTGTATGGCTCAAATCAATGTACTAAATTTATCTTGCTTTCATCAGTGTATTTTTCTCTTCTTTCCCTACTAGTTTTATCTCCAGTGCTTCATTGCTGTCTTTTATGGGCAATGAATTTGTGCTGTTGATTTCTCTTTCACTGCTGTTGGTGAGATGCCAAATAGCTTGACTACTAAGAGAAGTATTGATATCTTTGGGAAGCTCTGTTCTATTTTGGTATGGAATAGAATTTGTCATCATAAATGGTAGGTTGTTCTTGGGTTGTGTCCAGGGAATGAGAGAGGAATCTAAGTTTCTGTGTTAGGAAGATTTTTTCCTACATCATTGCCTTCCTTGTTCACAATACAATATTCTACAATTTGATGTGATGATTTGGATTCTCTCCTTAATGTTTTTTCTTCATTTCGAAGTTGTTCATGACTTGAGTTTTGTTCTTCATGCTGTAAAGCTTGATTCTGATCTAAAGTACATTCCTTGTTGTAGGTGTCAGTCAAGTGGATACCTCTAAGATGTGTTTCTCTCCTCAAGGACAAAGAAAATTGGTTTCGCTCATTGGTTTTTTGCTTGTTCTGATCCATGTGCTCAGTGGGCTCTGTTGCCCCTTGGTCAGTAACCCCCATGGGATGTTGAGATGGTAAAACACTATTTCCTGTATTTTCCCAAGTGGCTGGTAAATTACCAGGAAATTCCCGTTTGAGCTGAGCTGCATCTTGCACTTGCTCAGTTGAGAACTGAAAGTGTGAGTGTCTGTGCTTAGCTTCCCTGGGTGTAGGCTGAAGCAATACTGATGAATTTCCATTAGGGATATGACCAGCAGGGCAACACTTGCTCTTTACAGAGCTGTGTACAGACAAGTTGTTAGCACTGAGGAGAGGGGCATTTTCAGTATTTTTGTAATATTTGGTCTGCTTTGGGGCATGTTTGAGAGCAAACCTTTTTGAAGTGAGCTTTATACGGTTGTTACTCTCTAGTTGTTGAGGAAAATCTGCAGAAGACACGAGCTTTATTTTGTTTTTTTCCTTAGATGCTTTAGGTAACTTCTTAGAAGGTAAAAGTATTTGTTTATGCTTCTTTTGAAGTTCTGGCAAAGATTGTTCTGGATGAACTCTGACTTTTCTAAAAGGGTGTAAATTTAATTTTATCCTTAAATTGCGTCCTTTAAATTTCCCTTTGAGATCAGATTGCCTAATTCTCTTCTTTTTCAGAATCTGTGAATCGGTAAACCATTTTCTTCCTTCCTTTTTGACATCCAAAGTGGTCAGTTGGTTACTTTGATTTTTCTGCTGTTTCAGGTGGGTTGATGTTTTGGGTGGTACCACACTCTTTTTTGCTGCTAAATCAGGGTCATGGAAGCTGGCCCTCTTTGTAAAATATGTTTTCTTGATTTTTGTTGATAATCTTGATAAATCTATGTTATCCTCACTCATAAGGAATTTTTCTATTGCAGTGTTAATTTGGATTTGCTCTTTCTTAGACTTTGGATGCTCTCTACCATTTGGTTTATTTTTTTTCATATAATCTTGAAATTGGTCACACAGCATATATTTACAGATAAGGGAGTGGTTTGGCTGAATATATCTAGGCTTGCTCCATTTTAACAGTCCACAAGGATCATCATATTTTGATCTATGTTTGTATAAGATCTTTTGTACATAGGGCTCTTCAGGTTCACAAGGCTTGGATGATGAGCTTATAATAAAATATCTCTGCTTGTGAGGTTGTAGGCCATTGTCTTCTTTTTCTATTGGAAGCTGCCATGATTCATTTGTTAAATGCCTTTCAAGACTTTCTCTTGCCAAGGCTGAAGTGGATGTTGCATATCTTCTTCTAAATGTGTCACTGCTGATATCTGCTGAACAATAAATACAGGAATTTAGCACTGGGCAGAGTTTTACTACCCCAACCAAACAGATGCTTAGGTACTTTATGAAAAGTGCAAACAATGACACCTCTGATTATGGCAATTTTTGGATAGTTCCTAATTTTTGGCCAAACCCACAAAGAACATTTGACAGTTTGGTATGCTTATCATGGCACTCTATGTGGCCACATTTCAGTCAGCTGTAATGCTAATTTAGAAGTTGTAGGATTAGAAATATTAATGCTATTCATCTTTTGTCATACTGAAATTAGGTATTGGTTGTACATATTGAGGTTAGGTGTTAGCTTTAAAGATGGATAATATCTGGATCCTTTTCAAATGACAGCAATTTTTCTGCATTCATTTCCTATTTGCACCTCAAATGTTGGGAAGAACATGAGTGCAGTACTAAGTAATGCTCATGTCTCAAACACAGAATAATCTAGACAACAAAAAAGAAATATTTGTTGACTCACTGAAAGCAGAAGTGCATTATTTTATTTCCTATAACTTAATAAAATATTAATTAAATATTTGTTTAATGAGTAGGCTCATTTGTTTAATGAGACTTTTAAATGGTATAGATAAATATATTGACACATTTTGATTAATATTAATGAAAATAATAATTTCATTAATTGTGTACATAGAGGTAGACATTGTGCTAAATATTAATACTTTCACTATCTAATTTGCAACTTATAAGAAAAGTACTACTATCTTATAACTTTTACAGATGAAGAAACAAGTTTAGAGGGGTTGATCTTTTCTTCAGTTACACATCAGCTAAGTGATATGATTGGAACTTCAACCTAGGGCTGTTTGACATTAAATTATATCCTCTTAACCACAATGAATATTACATTAAAAATTATATTTAATCAGTGCACTTCCTCCTGTTTCATGAAATTATTTTATTCAGAGGAAGAAGGAAGTATTTCTATTCAGTGGAAAAAAGAAGGGGTGAACTAAGCCCCAGACTAGCATCTACATAAAATCTAAGATCTGCCACTAACTTTGTGGGTGACCTTGGAGAAACTACTTATTCTTTGGATATTGGACATCTGAATTAGATGGAAACTCTATGTGAGTATTCAAATTATACTAGGGAAAGAATTTGTGGCCTTTATCAGATTCTCAGAGAGTTCTGCAACTCTAAGATAAAAAATAAGAATGATTAGATTAGAGCATTTCTAGAGTCCTCTCTCTACTCTGAAAGTCTACAATTCTGTATTTCCAAGTTACAAGGCATAAATACAGTGACACTGCCTCCTTACTGACATCTCTACTGGAGCAAGTACGGCCTTGACTGTTTTCTCCTCAAGTACCTGCCTTGTCCAGCTCTATAGTACAACGCTAAACATGTTGCAGAATTTCAAATGTTTCTTAAAAGTACTGATCTGACAAACCAATATTCTCTGTGCAAAACAGGGGACTGGTTTGTAAATGGTTAAGAAACCACATTCTCTTTAGAAGTTTCCCATGGAGAAGTTAAACCTTTGGACAAAGTTAAAAACTAAAATGAAACTGAAAGGCTAAGTGCTTTTTTTTTTTCCATAAAATAAAACCAATCTTATCTGGTTTCTATGGCAGATGTTTCTTTCCTTGGCCATCTCTCGCTCTTGAGTCAAATCATCAGCCCCCAGAAACTGTCAAGAACTGAAGTATGAGGAATGTAGTCAAATAAACTCACATCCTACCTTATACCACACATGAAATAATACAGTTTTCATTCTTAACCAGTTGTTCCCAAATCCATTCTTATTGCCAGATCCCCCATGATAGGAATTGACTGCACCAATTGTTTGTTGTAAGCCAATTCAAATAAGTGACAGGAACCTCTTTACAGAGCAGCTGTCAAAACTTTTCACTGCAGAGCCTAAAACCATCGCCTCAGTGTTCAGGAAGAAAAAGGAAGACATTTAATTCATTGCCTTCACCTAAATAATGACATTGCCTATGTACAGTGGTTAGATGTCATGGCCAGATTCACTTGGCTCTCAACATGGGACAATGAATTAAGTCCTGACTTTCCCTGAACTGGGAAGTTATCATCCTTGACGGCTCAGCAAGCAAAGTATGTTTCTTGACATCATTCCTGAAATCAATCACTAGCAATAGAAGGCCCATTCTTCTAATATGTCATGCTCTGAGAAGGTTGCTTACTGCAGAATTGGCATTCATGCTCAAAAGATGTTCGAATGAAAGCTGAGACCCTCCCATAAATCCTAACAACAATATTGCTATTTAAAAGGCTTCTTTCCTTTAAAAAAAAATTGTTAGGTGTTCCCTTTCAGTAGACAGGAAATGTACTCTGAATTCATGGGATGCACCATCTACACTTCATTCCAAACATACACACACACACATGCAAAGAAAGATAGTAAGAGAAAAAGGTCCAGTATCTAGATCATTAGAGGAGGGATACACTGCTGCTACAGTGATTTTTATAGCACTTCTCTGTTGAGGAAATTAAAAGTGGTTCCCTCCTTCCAAGGCAATTAAACAGATTGGAATTTTCTAGAACAAGATGAACTCACCTATCGTTCTTGTTACATGCAGTGGTAGAGTTTGAGACTGTACTTCTAAAGGCTTGAGATTCCTTAGCTTTTCACCTCTCTTTGGACAATGTTTTGTAACTGATCCTGCATCATTAAAAGCTGCCCTATTCCTGGGAGTCTCTGAGCATCCTGACTGCAGCAATCTACCATCTAGGCAAAAGAAAGTGCTGTCTGCCCCATGGTCCTTCCCTTTCAGGTTTCTAAATGATCCGTCAAGGTCTGTGGACTCAGAGGCCAATGTTGCTTGATGGCTGCTTTCCTGTAAAAGTGGCATTTCCTTTCTGGACCCCACAATGGACATGACCTTTATCTCGTTTTCCTGAGTTAAGTGGCAGTTACAGTATCCCATGGTGTGGTAATTTCTTGCCTCATGAGCACACAGGGATTCATCGAAAGTTCTGCAACAAAGGTTTTCTGATGTGTGTTCATTTGCTTTGCCTTGTTGGAGTTTCCAGTTAAATACAACTAAACCTAGGCAAGTGAGACCAACAGCTCCTGTGACAAATAGAGAGACCATTAAAAGATAACATCATAGAAAGGAACATATAAATCACCAAATGTGCAACCCACAAATATAAAGGTTAATGGCTTAAAGGGCATCAGAATGAGTGGGAAGTCCATCACCATTTCGGAAAATATCAGGCCAGACAGAAGCTATTTTAATTGACATTGTTCTGCTTTCCAATTTGGAGCTCTCTTTATATATATTAAAAATTATAACAACACCATTTGGGATTTCTTTAGTAGAGAAAGAAATAGACTGCAGTTCATTCAAAATAAAATAATTCCTGGTTAAAATTATTTTTCTGCCTATGAAAAAACAGTTTAATTCTTAATTTCCTGCTTTTTATTTTCACAGTTAATAAAAAAATAGCCTAGACACCCTGAAAGCCTCATATACCCTTACCTCTTCCCCCTAAAATTTATATTATCCTATATCTTGTTGCCATATTTTAATCATCCGTAAAGATTTGCCACCTGCCCAGCTCATTGACTTCTCATTAGCAAAAAAGGCCAACCTCTATGGCGTTCAAGATTCAGCACAATCTTGCCATTGCCTCCCTTCCTAGCCTTATTTTTCATTATTGCCCACATTTGAGAATTTCAAACTGTTTAATTCATTTAGCTTGAAACATACTTTTAGCCTTTGCATATGGTCATAACGATGCTTTTAACACCTTCTCCTGTCTCTGATTATTTGTATTTTATCCTTTAAAGTCTAAATCAGTACCTCCAAATTTCTGGATGCTTTTGCTGTTTTTCCCCCATATTGCAATGATCACTCCCTGTTATGAACGGTCATGATAAAATGAATGACATCTAATTTCAGATGTCCTGGTACTATCATTTCAGGTACTATGTAGGCATAGCTTGTCCTCTGAGTAAAACCATAAGGGGTAGTGTTTCTTAAACCAAAGTGCACATTCTCCTCCTCTTATACCTCATTTTCCCTAACTTGAATAATAGCATCTGCAACCATATAAAAGTTCAAGTCAAAGTCTTAGTCATATCCCAAGCACTTATCTATCACAGTTATCTTCTTTGTTTCTTAATATTTATAACAGTATAAGATTGTGTTTACTCATTCATTTTTCCTGATCTCTGTCTGTCTTCCCCTGCTAGAACTAAGCACCATGAGGAAACAGACCTTTTCAGATCTGTTTGTTTAATCTTCCATCCCTAGTGCCCATAACTCTGGTACAAAGAAGGTACTCCAGAAATGTTTGTTACATATTCATAAATAAATAAATGAATTCAGTTTCTGAGTTCTGATAATGAAAGTGCTGGTTTGTCTAACCTTAAAAATCACCAAAATGGCAACCATGAAGATACGGCGTCAATACAGATTGAGCAAGAAGGTCTGCGTTTAAAGTCCACGTCTGCCTGTACTTGCTGTGATTTGGGGCAATTCAGTTCCCTCTTCTGAAGATAAGGACAGTGAGTGGGATAATCCTGGAATACTAGACTCATCAATTGACTGCATCATGCCTGGTTCTCTCTATTAGTGACAAGAAAACATGATACGTTTGAATGTGAAAGAAAATAGAGGGTACAAGGCACAATCATTTCACTTTTTTCTATTACAGATGAAGATTAAGCAAAGAGAACAGCAGTTTTTGGTAAAATTCTCCAACCATTGTATAATTCACCAGATCTTGAAATATTATAAACCTATTTTAATTTATTTAATAACACACTCTCAGAAAGTGCTATAACATATTGAAATAACTTAATCTTTATTAAAGGTACAGATTTTCTTAAACTTGTAGCAAAAATGAGATAATAACCATTTTGTTGCCAGTACTTAGAGTATAGGTTATTTCAAACAAGAATTATGTTTTAATATGCTAAAACTATACAAAATAATAACATTTTTAAACATTCTATATTTCTTCTTTTTTTTTTTTTCTGGCAGCACTGATAACTTAGCCTCACGCTTGCTAGGCAAGTACTCTTACTACGTGAGCCATTCCGCAAGCCCTCCATATTTCTTATATGGAACAAGAAAACTCAGCACTCAAATTCTGTACAGACACTTTTCTTGGATGTGTTCTAATATCTCTGAATCTTTTTTCTCCTCCTTTCTTAAAAAGGTATAATTAATACTATTCAGCATTAAGTGATATAATATGGATGATATGCTTACTATAGTGCTTTGACATCGTAGAGTTCAATAAATGGTCATTGTATTGCTTATGATTACTATTTTTGTTAGTCAGCTTTCTGTAGCTGTGACAAAATACCTCAGAAAATCAACTTATATGGAGAAAAAGCTTATTTTGGTTCACAGTTTCAATCCATGATTGGTTGTTTCTATAGGTTTTGGGTCTGTGGCAAGGCAGTACATTATGGCAGGGAATGTATGTAGAGCAAAGCTGGCCACTTCATGGCAGCAAATAAACAAAGAGTAAGAACAAGACTAAGGTCCCATATCCCATTAAAAGGCATGCCCCCAGTGATCTAACTTCTTTTCTCTAGGCTCTACTTCCTAAAGGTTCCAACCCTACCCAATGGCACCATGGGCCCCTGACCAAGCGTTTAGCATATGAGCCTTGAGGGTACATTTGAGATCCAATCCATAACACTGCTGTTGCTATGGTTTAGATTTTGTACTGCTATATTGGTCCTGGAAGACTCAACTAGTAGGAAAAAAATAAATTCCCAAATAAATCATTAAGAGAATATTTTGTATGACATACAGTTGCTAAAGCAAATAAAAAAGTCCTAAATTTTCTTAAAGACACGTATCAGTCAGTGACAGGAGAGTAAGCGAAATCTGATCATAGGATAGACTTTCTCCTCTAATTGTGTCTAATGGTCAGGATGCACTTGCTTCTTACTGCTGATGTTTGAGATTTAGCTACACCCCATTACCACTCAGGTGTGGTCACTTTTCTTTAGGGCAGAAAGCAAAAGAAATTTGCAAGTAGGCTAAACAGGATCTTAAAATGTTTGTGTTTTCATTACCATGACATTGTTTCTACTTTTGAAAAAGTATTGTAACAATCTTTTGAGTTGGGAAAAAATAGATGCAAAAAAAAATGATAATTTCTCACGGAAGCATTAGAAAAATATTCAGCTTCATGGAAGCTTTTCATTTGCCAGGTCACAGAATAGGAAGAGGTGCTAAATAACTACTGATTAGTTTCAAATTCACCAAATATGATTATTTACTTCCTTAGAATTGTGATGACTTAGCTATAGATGAAAAATAAAGTGGACTCATAGACAAAATTATGGTTATATGTCTTTTTCTACAACCTAGAGGTACAAAAATCTCACGATATTTTCACTTCAAAAGGAAGAGCAAATTGATAAAAAAAAACTCTACTTTTTTTGATGAAAGATACATTAGTATAGAAATTTTACACTAAAACTCAATCATATTCATAATCATATTAATAATTTATCAGAATATGTCCATATATATTAACTTTTTATAACTTTGACAAAAATCTTTGGAATGTTCCAGAATTTGATTTTATCTCTATACTAGCAAAGAGCTGTTAACTTAGCAAAATATATTTCTGAATATTATATATATATGTTAAAATACAAATAAAAGACATTATATTGTAATATTTCCAAAATAGTATCCAATAGAACACTAATTCAATAAAGTAGTGTATAAGAAAAAAGGAGGGGTGTTCAGGGTTAAATAAGCTTTAGAAATATTCCATATTATATAATCCTTCTAAAGATTCAGAATTTCCATTAGAAAATGCAAGGCTTTCAGAAATGCTGCAGCAAATAAGTCCATTCCACATCACTTAACCTAGCATTGCCCAAACCTATTTGAGTCCATAACTCATCACTTGTCTGTGCATCTGTGCGTGTTTTGCTGGAATACTTATTAATTATCCACCAGAACTAGTATTCTAAGAAGCACATTTAAGTAAAAACTGCTTGCTGCCATATCACTTTTGTCATTTATGGCAAATTATTTCTTAGCACATATAATTACTGACATGGTTACATGGCTTTTAAAACAATTTATCTTTCTGGGAAGATTTGGTTTCCCTTTCAAGTGAGTTTGATTACTGATGGTGGTTGTTCTATTGTCTAGACCTGATGCTGGTCTCTATCTATCTTGATTAAAAGTATAACTGTCAGAAATTATAAAGCTCATGTCCAATTAATTCACTGAAAACCTGTTATTGAATAATTATTTATAGCTTGTATTCCAAACACATTTCTTTAGTCCTGGGTGCCATTTGTGGGTCTCTAGTCTTCCAGCTTTGGAGTACTACACACACACACACACACACACACACACACACACACACAAAACTCATTACCCTCCTTACTCACAGGCAGATTTTCACCATTCACTTGAGAACATGGTGAAGCACATACATCAAGTTACTTAACTCAAGAAAACTCAAAGACTTTTGGTCTTCAGCTATTGCCATCACTTTTATCAAGTAAGATGTAATGACAGGCAATGCACTATTTAAA